ACACTGAGGGAGATGCTGCTTAAAAGTGTCTCCCGAGCCTCTCTCCTCCCCTCAAAGAATCGTGATAACAATTCTGGCTCTCTTCCTCCTCCTCCTCCCCCGACTGCCCAACCCACTCACCAACCAGCAGCATAATGTGGTTTCCGCCAACAAGCTCTGTCTGCAGTATTAATCAATTGGAAATGTGCTGCATTTCTCTCTTCCTGAGACAAAAGCACACAGACGTCTCTCTCTGTTTCTTTTTCTTTGCTTCCCCTCATCACTTCTCTCTTTCTTTCTTTCGCATAATATTAACTCTAATGAAGCACTCACTGGAGCTTATAGACGCAGCTCACAATTAATATCAATACAGTAGATCTTTCACATCCATCGGAAGATGCCCTTCCCACCTCCCCTAATGTGTCCATAATGTTTGTCTTTCATTCTCTTTTACTGTTTGTCTTTAAAATCCAAATAGGTTATGAGGGCTGTACTAACAGTATTGTAGCCTTAATAACAGCAGGGTAAGTGGCTCTGCTATCAAATACGCTGGCACTCATTTAAACATGGGCTGCTATGAAACGTATCCACATCAGTGGCTCCAAGATAGGGAGCTAAGCAATCTATTTAAAAAGCAATCTATTTCTCGCTGTCGTGGAGATTGCACAGATTGAATGGGGGAGTCCGATCCTCAGCGGACGGCCCTCTCGATCCTACCCTCCACTCCTCTTTTATCTCACAGCTCCTCTCCAACTCCTCTACCCTAAGCTGCTGACAAAGAAAAGAAAAAAAAATGAGGAAAGAGAATCAGGAATATGACATGCACCTCAAACTGCATCCAATTAAAACAAATAAACTCAAGGATAAGAGCGCAGATAATAAACTACCCCTTGTTTGTGTTTCCTAGACTGAGCTTTGCTGCAATAATAAGCGCTGATCTGTTGGTGAAAATGATTGTGAAAAATGTGAAAAGCTAAAGCTGACTGTGTTACTACATTAATGGCAATGTGATTAAAGTCTCAAAGTAACACAGTTATTCCTCATATATGTAGTTTCAGGTTCTGTCTATAATACAGGAGGTGCAGCTAATCAGACTGATATCAGCCGCTACACACCACATAAGCAGACAGAGCACTATAGATTGTGCAAATCAGTACAGACACTGGTAAAAATGACTTTACATGCAAAATAATGGTATTTTTAAACATGGGATTAAAGTGTTATTGGTTGCAGATAATAGTCAAAATTCAGCGTTTAATCTTGATTTAAACAAAAATGATCATATGATAGTCTTATATAAGCATAATTTCGAACAAATATAAGAACTGTGTTAATACATCTTTCCCCTAAACTCTTTGAGTTCCATCCATTAAACATGACAAATTTGTGTGTAAAACAAAGTTATGGGCAAAATCGGCCTTCAAAAGTATTTTGGGGGTTCAGATTTGTTTCTATCTACTCACAAACTCCGTGCTTGCTCCTGTCTATGAGTAGAATCTGTGTAGTGGAGAGTGGGGTAAGTTGAGCCATAGGGTAAGTTGAGCCATTCCCTGTTTCTTGGAAATGGTAAAAGAAATTGATCATGTGACCAAATATTTAGGTGATGGGCATCAATTCATGGAGTCTGTGAAGGTTAGAAGCATGAGTGAAGGGGTCAGACATTTATTTCCCATACACGGGGTAAGTTGATCATAGGAGACCTTTTTTTTTTGGCATGCTATATTATCAAGACAGTTCTGTTTACACTCATTCTGTTGGTTTGCAGGGATGCACAACAACTTGAAATATATGCAGCTACACTAGTTAGAGACAAAACTATGATTGCCTTGATGCAGTGATCGATAATATGAAAAATGGCTCATCTTACCCCACTCTCCCCTACATGAAGAATATACAGAAATATTGTTATTAACAGAAATCAGTATTTTAATTCATGGCGTGATCTGATATGTTTATGAAACGTGAAATTTAAACATGATGGAAAAAAAAAAATAAGTTTGACACATTGAGCAAAATAACTTTGCAGTCAGCAGATTAAGGCTTCAGATGAGGTAAGAAAAACAATAACTTCAGATTGGGTTGTTTTATACGTGTTCATTTATAATCTAAATAATGATTATTGAATGCTATAGCTCTGTGGCCCAGGGAGACACATGACAGTGACACTACGCAACAGCTCAGGTGGGACTGGTTTGGAGAACGGAGCAGTAAGACACAGTTTATCAGTCAGAAAAGACCCTGTTTACCTCATTGCTTGTTTATGAAGCCCTCATGTTCACAATCAATAAAAAAAAAGCCATGTTCAGATTTGTGCATATTTATTGGATTGTTATCCTTACTCACAGATTTGCAGCCAATATTTTTTTCTTAACCTTGGCACCTCAGGGGACCATACATGTGTTTTAACAAGAGGTCTAATCTATCCATAGGAGACAGGGTTACCCACTGAAGCCGAGGCTTTTGACTTCTCTGACCCAGCACGCTTACAGCAGGAGCTAGTTTTGTCACACCCAAGAAGGGCTCAGACTGTCAGAGCACACTAACAGTGATCTGAAGACGAATGTGTCACACCACAGCTCACAGGAGAAAACAAAGCGTCTTTTTAATAATTCCACTTCACCTAAAATAACCTCTTATTTTTATCTTCAAGTTTTTCTTTCTCCTCCTCTCTCTTCATTCTCTCATTGGTCCGCAGGAAGCGCACGTACACACCTCCTTATATGGTGTTCATTGGGGGATTCCAGTGACGTTAATGTGTATATCTATTTTTTATAGATATAAATATATCATATGTATGTATGATTGAAACTTGTTCACTTTTTTTAGAGTAATTGTAGCCACGATTAATACTTTATACAAGTACTTCTTTTCTTATTCACTGTAACGCCCCACCTGAAGGCGGCCCTCTGAAATGAACAATGATCCACATATTGCCCCATTTAAAAGTAACAAAACACCTTTAAGAGTTAACTATGTGATTTATTATGACTAACGAGGAAGAATTATAACCAAAGACAAAGAATTCACAACTATCAACAAAAGAACAAATTGAGACGTTAACGAAACACAGAGGCAGCAGGACAGCAGGACAGCAGCTCCACACCACATGTCTCTGCCTACTGCAGGTAGCTCTGGGCCTTTAAACCCTCTGGAGCAGGTGAAGCTGATTGCTAATCACCGACTTCACCTGGGCAGATCTCGGCAAGAAAAAAAAAAGGGGGGGGGGGGTATACATACATAGAGCCTAACATTAATGGACGCGTACATTTTTTAAAATTACATTTCATTTTATTCATTTATTTATTGATTTTTTTTATTTTCTTAAAGCCCAGGTATGAGCACTAAAATTCATCAGCTGAGCCTGAGTCCAAATATATTGCAGATTTTGAACTGGATTTCTCATTTAGGATGAAGTTTACATTAGTGATGAGAATTCAAGCTCTTTTTACAGATTAGAAGCATTCAGGTCAGCTCAAAAGTGAAAGCTGAGTCTCTGAGCTCCATAATGGCTTATCTTACCATTCCCCCTACATTAGATCTGTTCCTTAAAGCAATGTCCTGACCACTGAGGTGTGTCTGTGTGTATTTTACTTTTATTTTGGAGAAAAATGAAACACTTTGCAGTATATTAGAAGTTGCAGTAGCAGGATTAAACTTTTTTTTGACAGGTAGAAACCACAAGCAGCAGGACCAGACTCAGGTTGAAAAAATCAACAACAAGCTCAGACTTAAAGGTAAATGATAGAAGTATCTGTACCACTTAGAGGAGCTGCAAATGAATGATGACTGTCTGAGATCTTATAGGACTATGTCAGAGCTAATGCCAGTCTGGCTAAGCATTTTTGTTTCAGTGTACCTGGTCTCACACATTGCAGCAGGCCTCCCAGAGGGGCTCTCAACTTGGGCCAACCCATCCAAAAGCTAGGTGGAACCCAGCAACAGAGTGACTACGATGCAAGTTAATTTTCTTATATTTTTATGAGCCTGATAAGATTCACAAATGCTTCCGACACTGAAGATCTCTTGTTTGCTTCTTGTTTTCATTTGTTCTTTTGTTTCTTTGAGTAATTCATTTAAAACACGATTTTCCCTCCACAAAGGAAAAGCTCTACTGATGAAGCCACTGATGAGCTTTTTGGTGAAACATTACATCTTTGTTAAAAAACGGTAATTAGTTCAAATCAAAGCGTTTTATATTGCTTGGTGCTGAAGCTGATCTCAATCCAATTATTTCTCTGGAAAAAAAAAAAAATGATGCTGTTGAATCATTCTAATTAATCATTGGTGTATTGATGCAATGGGCTCAGAATTACAACTCAGTAGATTATTGAAGGTCATGGCACAAGATACAACTGTACACCGCATGCTTTGACTGCTCTTGACAACATAAGATTTACAGCTCCATCTGCTGACTGGCTGCGGTATAGGTCCTTGTCTCTTTAATGTTTACCAATGGAAGAAAGGTCAAACTCTAAAATTAAACAACACCTCAAATATTCTTTACTCAGACATGTACATATCAGCAAAGATAGTTTGCATTATGCTTATCTGTGTTATTGGTGATCAAAGTGATAATCATTATGAGAAGTTATCTAACTTTACATAAGAGGGGATGTGACATCATGATTGACAGCTCTGTTGACAAAAGTAGAGGCGGGACAGCACTTATCAAATGCTAAAACGAGACTCATTGAACTTTCAACTACGTTAAATGTTTTAGTTAGCGCTATTAGTTTCTGATGGTCAAGCTACTTGTAAAATATTGAGGATTAAACTACGAGTTACACTGAGTTACAAAAGTTACAATGACAAGGATTCTGATTATAATTTTTAGTATTGTCAGTGTCATCATATGTCACCCATTATGATTCAATGTGAAGACTATTTATATTTTAACCATTCTGCTTAAGTTTTTAACACAAAGGACATTACACTTGAGCCAACTAAAGATAATCAACTTACTTTTCCTTTTATAATGATATTGACTCAAACTTCCAAAAACGGATTTAAAAAATAATTGAGTAAAGTCAAAAGTTTCTATGACAGTCAATTTTTTAAAGAAAATAGTCAGACCTTCTCTCTTTGGGTCTCTGCGCATCACATACAAATATAAACAATGTGTGATTTCTAACAGTATGGTCAACCGGAAAAAAACAATCCCAGTTTCTCTTTTATGATCTCGTTTATTGTGCGCCTCTTCTTGACCGTATGTACTGTGTTAGCTATCTAGAGTTGTTTACAGACTGACCAGGCAATGGTTATCTTTATGGGTCCATTAAGTGGGTTATCAGGGAAATATGTGTCCCCTCGTTTGAACCCATCTTCAGGGCCGACTTGGGATGCTCCACAAAAAAAGAAAGAAAAAAAAAATCTAATCTAAAAGGACAAGCATTATGATCCAGAAAACTGCTATACCATCATCAAGCTACTGAGAAATTTGGCTGCTACGTCGCCAACTGTAATGCCGTTACTGCCCATCACTGCCGTCAGTGTGACGTCAGTCCTGTTAGGCTACCACCCAGATTTCCTCCGCGTATGTTTTGGCTGCATCAGCACAATATATATTGGCACTTATGAAAGAAGTTTACGTCACACCCCACAGTTGCCAGAAAAGGTGACATTGTGTCTATAGATAGTATATGAGATACTTGTTATTTCCTTGTCATATACAGCAAGTCTTGAGGGTCAAAATTTGATCAATTACTTATGCAACTCCAATCTTCCATGTATTACGTAAACAGAGTAGGAAAGTCGGTTTTGTCACTGAGTTTTAGACCATGTTAAAGCCGTGTGACTACTCTTTGTGTACTTGTGTTCATGCAAAAATCCTCAAACACCAATTTTCCCAATAATTATCACAACAAATCTAAATTATGAGAGAAATTACAACCCTGAGTCAAAATTATTTCCAAAAACTCGTGTAATGCTACAGCCTAGCTTCAGCCGCCTCCTCCTCCCTGAAAATACACACCCACATACTGCAAAAATACACACACAAGTTAACAGCAAGGCAATTTTAAAAACTGACCTCCACCCATCTCACAGTCTTCATCAGCAAATGGAGTGACTCAGCTGTCGTGGAGTTGGTTCAGCTGACATCATCCGATGCAAGAATGGATCTTTGATCCGGTGATTCAAGCTGGCCAAACAAGGAGAGTGAATGAATAATGATTCATTCCAAGAAGAGTGAATGAACAGCGGAAAGAGACATCATCATCTCTTTGTGAACATCATGCTACAGTCGACTTAGCTGCCAAATGATTATCCTTGTTCTCCCTGCAATCAAGGACCTCAGTGGAGAAATGCAAACTTTGTCCTTATGCTACTCTTGATAATTTCTGCAAATGACTGCTTTCTTGTATTTATACTTGATTTTTTTTCTTAACTGTTGTCTCAGCAGTGTTGCTTGTTGCTGATAGCAATGGGAAAGCAGTTATATAATAAGTTTCTGAGCTGTTCTCCATTCACTGCTCTGAGAAAAATAAGGAATTTGATTTTTGAGCTTTATGTGGTTCAAAAGCATTTTACTAACTTTGGCTGTTTGTTACTAATTTCACTGAAACATCTGCCCACTGCTCTTGAAAATCAGGTTTATGATTGCTGTGGCACTAAAACAAAAATAGTTAGGATGAAGGGTGTAGAGCTACCAATACTCAACAGCTCCTTACCCATGCAACTGTAGGCTTGTGAGTAATCACAAAAGACTGCGATCAAGAAATAGATGACTGTAATTCTAACACAGACCTGTAATAAAAGTGATAATAAACTGATTTAATAAAACTCATAAATGGACTTTATTACTGAGTGTCTATCCTTTGTGTACATGGGTGCAGCTGCAAGTATTAATATGGGGGTCCAGTGATAGATGACCTTGCACCTGAGGCATCAACAATGATATTATTTTTAGTATGTTAAAATTAGCCGATACAGATGAAGGTTATGATTTTTATGATATGTTAATGCTTTTAAACAAATCTAAAATTAAGTCAATATTGTCACTCAGTCTCAGGTTTAACTGGAGGGGGTGAGATATCAGCTGCTTTGTGTTTGCCATCTTCAACACTGACATATGCGCACATGCTCTAAAACGTTCTTATAAACAAAGGGACACATCTACACCCCGTGAGAATCAGTAGACCTATTTTCACAGTATGGAGTACAACACATACACCCTTTCCACAGGCATAACAATGCAGAAATCCACACGTTAAGACACCATCTGTCACCAACACACTATGATAATTGTTGTGTGTGTTGGAGACTAAGCTATACAACCACACAATTTAGTATAATGAATACATCAACAGTAAACAAAAGTGAAAACCAGTTTAGCTTTTTTTTGTCAATGGAGAGAGAAAACAATCAGTTATCTATTTGTTGTCACTGTCAAAGGCTGCAGGAACTTCAGACTGACATCAGAAACTAAATGAATGTTTTTCATTCACTTTTCTAGTCTGATTAAAAAGTATAAAAAAAATTTCCTGCTCTCTTACACTGTGCACTTGAGCACCCAGACACACCGGCTCAGTGTCCCAACACTTTCACAACAACCAACCAGTCTCTTCACTCCTTTTTCCATCATGAGACCTGTAGATTTAATCCCTGACATAGACAGTAATAATCCAAGAGTACCTCCACTGACTATTTTAGATTCCTCACAAGTATCCCTAACTTGCGGTATTGAATGGAAATGTGAGTTGGAGCCCTTTCAAACCTTTGTGCTGTGTTGCCAAAGGCAATTAGTCTTCAGGGGGCCACTTTCAAACTGGTTCCTGGACCACTATGGAAGCACCTCAGAGGGAAGCTTTTCTACCTGGGTGAGGGGGGCAAGGACATCCTTCTAGACCAATCCTGAGATAAAAGCATGTTGACCGTCATCTGCTGGCCAGGTCAGTACTTGTGGGACTCTGCAGCTCTTTGCCTGAAGGAATAGCACTAGAAAAGCAACTTCATGGGCCCAACACTTATATTAGATATAAAGCCAAATTGGAGAAGACCATTTACAATCCAAGTAAGGCTTGGGCATGATGTGGGATTTTTCAAGTGGAAGCTCAGGGACACCAAATAGAGTCAAAGAAGAGCTAATATGACCTTTATATCACTCAACAGGTGATGTTTAAGTCACATGTAATCTTTGGTTTCAAATAATTCTAGCTGTAAATGGTTCCTGTCTACTGGCTGTATGGTTAACAGCAGAGGAGACGAGGTAGAAACGCAATATCAGTGTAGATAAACCAACATATAAAATAGTTTTGTTGTTAGCTTGGTTTAGTTTGTTTTTCACTGGTCTGAATCGTGGAGCAATTTGTAAAATTGTTCCAAACAACCTCAACTCTGGTCAAATGTGTCGAAAATCCTCCCTAATTGGTCTTGCAGATGTTCAATACCTTTGCAAAATTTCTGATATAGACACCAGCGAGTGAGAGAAAACAAAAACACTTGCTTTACAAAAATGCAAGATGTAGACCACAACAAAAAAGGGCAAACCAAGACCCATGTTTTCAGTCTGTCTTGGTGCAGTTGTTTGGGCTACACTAGGGTACAATTGACAACTGCCACACCATCACGAATGAACCATACACACTCAGCAAACAAACGCAGGTTCCTTTTAACCAAACCAAACAGGTGAACTGTGGAGGCACTCTTAAAATGAACTTGTTTATTTTCTGGTCACAAGTCAGAAACATTTAACCTCATTGACTGATGTGGTGAAATCAAATTACGTCCATAAACGTTTTTAAATGACACTTTAAGGCATCTGTGTTGGCAGTTTGAAACTGACTTTAACGGGAAGTAACTCACCCCTCTTCACCAGTTTATCATTCCCCCAGTGACTTAACTTTTAAAAGAACAGATTTACCCGAACTGATAAAAGGCCTATCAGAGATTTGGACATGTGGAGAGGAGTCAAATGCTCATGGCTAGAGTGAATGGCTGTGGGTCAGATGAAAGCTGAGTGATTGAGGCTAAGAGGTAATTCATAAATTTATAATGTTGGCCGGAGATGTTCCAGACAGAAGTGTGTAGTGTGCTGTTTACTGGGACGGTTCTGGGCTGGTTTGTTTGGTGGATCGACTAGCATGCTAATAGTGTTGGTAGCTGAGGTGTGTGCTCTTCTGAATGCTAAGGTTGTTGAGGATTGGTGTATTTGTGACTCAGGCAGCATGATACATACCGTCACATACTTTTATTGGTTTATTCTGTGGCTCAGACAGATCATTCGCTCAACATACTGTTACCGTGCTGGTACACTATGTTGTTGAGGACGTTTGTAACACCCTTGCGTTATTGGTCAATGATATCTACAGAACAAGCTAGTCTGTGATCTTGCAAACTGGATGAAACGGCCTGTTACATGAGAATTAACATATTATTAAGGACTGGATATGGCAGCATGCTCAGCCTGTCTTCCTTTACATTTCTTGATTAAATTCAAAGTTGTCTTTAAATGGATAAAAAGTGATTTTAAAATCATCAAAATGTAAAGTCGGGGTGGGCTGAAGTTTGAAGATGGGGCCAGTTGATTGCACCAAGGAAGCAATTTCTTGTTGACTACATACGCACCATCTTTGGGTCACATTTCATGGCCTATATACACACTTACTCACACACACACACACACTAGCTAAAGACCACTAAAGACTGACAAAGGAAATTGTAAAAAGCTTATGAGCTCTCAAAGGCTTGTCCCTTGAGTGGGCAGAGGAAGGCTGTTTCCCAGTTTAGGGGGATGGAGTGGAGGATGAGCGCTGGTGTATTGCTGCTACTGAATCTCACCCACTTAGTGATCAACCGTCACCCCTCACCTCACAGTTTATGTTGCACTGTTCTCACAGCTGTCATCATATCTTACAGATGAAACCTCTGAGAGACGTTTGCTGTTAGCTGTATGTCTAAACTAAGCTAGCTGCTTGCCAGAAGGTGCTTTACACCTCAAGCTAGTGTCATCTATCTAACTCACTGAAACTTAGGTGTACAGTAGTAAGAAAAGGATAAAGAATGTGAATTTTTAGTTTACACCTTTATCCCACAAAGAATATGTCTTGCTCTCTTAGCCATGGCTTCCTTCAACCTTTCTTACAATCTATCAACTACTGTACCGCCTTCTTTGTCCCTTATGAATATGCAAATTCATGTGAGTGTTTGGAAGTAATTCCTCTTTTCTTTTGGCTTTTTAAACTAGTCATATTTCCTGTGTCTCCACCAGCTGTTTAACCACAGTCCAAGCATGGAGTCCTGTTGCCCTGTTGGGTTTTTTTCCTTTGTCCTAGCTTCTGTCAGTTTTTTTTCTTTGGATGCGATCCTCTGGAAGCTTAAAATCACAGGCTCCTGTGGTGTTTGAGGTCACTGTTTGCGTGCCAGGGAACAGTGTGCCTTTTTTCTCTGATCTACAGCTTGTTGTAAAAGCAACTGCTTTCCAAGGAAATATTAGCAAGCCAACAAAAAAAAAAGATATATGTGGAGTCAGAATTCCTTGAATCTGGAAAAATCTCTGAGCAAAAAAGACAACCTCGAAAGCCAATACTTGATGACTGTGGTCATTGGGCTCTAGGGGTGTCATTTCTTTTGAAAACAGGCATGACGCTGTAGTGGAAGTCACTGCACTGGCTCTAAATCACTTCCTAAATGCATTGATTGGAACAACATGACCAGTCAGAGCTATTCTATGCAAAGAAGAAATCAAACAAGTGGACCCAGAATTGCTAGCAACTTCTCTGGTCCAGGTACCATTTAACAAAATCACAGAAAAGTAAACATATGCCTCTAATTTGAGTAATGGTAAAAATAAGTTCTTCATAGCCTGGTTCCATTTCATATAACTACTAACCTTTTACATACCTGTGCATGTGAAATCCACAGGCTGGAACTTGTCAATTTTTTCCACTTCACAGTTACACATTAAAGTGGAACAAGCATTTGCTTTTAGAGCTTCTCACATGTGGAATGATCTACTTGTGTTTTTTAGCCATTACTCACCATTGTTTTTGTTATTAGTTTTGAGAGCTTTCTTCTATCGACTGGGTGGAGAAAAAGTAGGTAGAAATGTGTAATTGTGAAAGCACTGATTTAGCACAGATCGACTATGTAGAGTGACGCCCCGCTATAAGGGGGCACAATAAACAGGTAATTGACAATGATGGACAGGTTATCATGTAATTGGTGTAATGCTTCAGTTTGCTGAACTACTGGGTGGAGAATGAATGAATAATGGTGATATGTTATTGATTAAGAGCTGGTTAGATCATATATAAAATAAATTTAAAAAAGACATAGTTGTGAACCGCACCAATTGACTGTCATCAGTGTCATTAGTGTTGCTAATCTTATTTTTGTACGCACAAAACTAGCTGATGTAAACACTTAGGTAATTTCTCCTAATCAAAAGCAGAGATTTAAACTTTAAACCTATCTAGAAAAAAATCCTATTGGGCTTAATTGAAGCCACATTCACCTTACCACTATCAAAAAATTTCATACTCTCATATTTGACATTACATGCCAGATATGAGTCATGAATTGCTTGTGAAGGGTAGAAGAATTCGCCAGTGGAAAAAGAAAAATGTACCTGTCAAGTGTCTTAATATTAGAGTTATGTTTTTAGAAAATATCTTCTTTCAGGAAACTTGACAAGTAATTTTTTCTTGTTCCATCAGCAGATGTATTTTTTTCTCAAAACAAACAATTCAGGTCTTAATTGTGGTGTGTGATTTTTTGAAATAGGACATTTTTTTTCTGGACTTGTCAGGTGCTTGTGGCTTATATTAAGCCTAATAAAATACTTTTAACAGAAATGAGACAAAAACACTTGCTAAGAGTTTTGGTGTGTTTGAACGCTGCTTCAAAAGACAAGCCAAGCAAAACCAAAACGAAAAAAAGAAAAAAGCAGGACGAAGTTGATGGCTGAGTCTTGAGGTAACAGAGGGAATCAAATCACTTAAGTTATTTTTGGTTTTACCCTGTGCTCTGGTGTTCATTGCCAAAAGAAAAGGTATTAATTTGAGCCATCCGTATTTTATTTAGCACTCAGAGTCATTATTGTACCTCTATTCGCCTCCACCTCAAAGATTGCCAGTCATTGTGGCTGTAATATGATAAGTTGAAGTGTTATGGCTGTTCATGGCGCGAGGGCCTCCTGACTGAACCAAACTGTCTTCTACTCCTCATCTTTTTTCTGTATTTCCTGCACTTCCTTTCCTTCTCTCAGTTGCAGGTTAAAGACAAACAGATGGGTGGGTGTTGCAGTCTTATTTTCAGTGCAGAATTAATTAAGGCTTATGGCAGCTGACGCATCAGATTCACACTGACCTGCAATTAAGGAGAACACTTGCATTTGGAGGGTTGGGAATATAGCAGCCAAACCAACAGCCCTGCCAACCGCCATGAAAAATACATCCTTCTCACTGGGGTTTGCACTCTCATTAAAAGTTGCCTTGAGACATTTTGCTTAAGTTACCTCAGAAATGTTTTTATTTCTGCTTTGGTTGGTGTAATTCTGTATTCCTGCATTGTTGGGGGAGCAGGTTAAGGTCCACCAAGCATAGTTGAACAAGCAGATATTGGAATGAGACTGCGGTCCAGGCCACGATTGTAGAGTCAGTTTTCAGATGGAGATGAATAACTGAGAGCTTTGCTGGCAATCAAGAACATTTACAACCAACAAAAAGAACAAAACAGCTCCAAAATTATATATAACAATCTTCTTCCTTCAACTTTCATGTTGAGGGAGGAAGTTATAAAGGAAATAATTTGATTAATTACATGGAATGAAAAATATCATGTTGGAGGCATTTCTTGGATGTTAAAACAAGAAAATATTCCTCAACTTTAATGTTGGACTTTCTCTTGTAAGAGCTGCAACCAAAGAGAAAAAAAAACACTTTTCCTTGGAAGTGTGAACCAGCAGAGGGGAGGATTTCTTCTTTTTTTGCTTGGAGCTACTTGCAACAAGCTGTGCTAGTTTGAGCACCACTGGGAACATTTTGTAAAATCCAATTTTTGTGATCAAAAGGCATCCATGGAGGGAGCTCAGTGTGGGTAGACAGCATTAAAAGGAAACACCACTTCTTTCCTATCTACATCTTCCCTTATCCCAGCTCCAAGCCCTATGCAGTTGCAGCAGATGGCTGTTTAACATGAGTCTGGTTCTGCTCAAGGTTTCTGTCTTTCAAAAGGAAGTCCCTCCTTGCCATATGAATTCAGTTAATGCTGGGAAATGCTCTAAGATAGGATAAGGCTTAATCTTAAAATACGACAAGACTGGATCTTATCTTAAGTTGATCTTTATGTTGGGGCTCTGTAAGTAATATTACAAAGGGTAGGGTCTGAATCTACTCTATGGATATTCTATGATTCTATGGATAATACGGCCAATGAGGAGCTTGAACTAAGACATTAAAATGACCCAAAAAAGTCACCCCTGAGGGACACCATATTTAAAGGAGCTCAGGATACAATATGGTCAATACCAATGGAGATATTTCCTCCTGTTTAACAAATAAGTGAGTCATTGTAAAGCTCATTACACTTACACAACCCACTGCATCCATTCATGTATTTATAACAGATTGTTGTTATAAATTCTATCAAAGAAATCAATAAATATGTAGGAGTGCATGTCCAAAATACCCAATCAATGTAGTAATTCCAAGTTTGCTTTTGATTACTCATTATTGTCCAATTTGCACTTTTTAGGAGGTTCCACTTTGGTTGCTATTTTGATTTTATCCAAGTCCTGTACATATGACACTATCATTCCCTGTGATAGCGAGGTAAATGACTGGTCACAACATGCCAACCATGGGCGTTCCTTAAACTATAGTCTTCCTCAATGTTGATTCGTCTGCTATTAGTTGCCACCCATTTAATTGGCACTGTATCCAGAGGCCCTTGGTGATCCATTCAAAGAAAAGTGTTCTGCCAGCTTTTGTGATGCAGTTGGTTGCTGATATCTGTTAAAAGTTTGGTTATGGCATGCAATTGAGCTCAAAGTATGAGGAATCTTTCGTCATTTCCCTCCAAAAAAAGGTCCAGCTTAATTGTTTGCAGTTTCTAAGATGGATGGTTTCATTCACCACTCTATCACCAAGTGGCACATAATGTGTCACAACATGAAAGAGAGGAGGAGAACTAGACCCAAATGCAGACATATTGTCCAATAAATCCAAAATACAAGGGATAATAATGACAAAGGAACAGTAATAATGCATCATGTCTATTAGAATATCATACTCAGAACTAAAACAGTGTCTATGTAAGTAATTCTTTGAGTATCAGCTGAAACTGCAGACTGATCGCTCACTGGAAACACTGGTTCTCATACCTTTGAAGAGCCCAATACAAGTTTAACAGGTGCTTAATAATGGTCAAGGTTACTCACTATTTACTGGACTGGGAAATAAATCGTGGATATAAATTAATAAAATAAATACTATAATTAAACTATACATTGTGTCATATGTTTGTAAAAGCGTTTCTTTAAGGTACAACAAACGCGTTTTTAAATGTGTTATTTGTCCTTGCAGCTCTTCAGCATATGTGTGAATATGAGGCAGATTGTTGTGTTTTGGCACCTGAGTTTCTCATAATTCCTCTCTTTTTTTTTTTTCTCTGTCAAGTGTGATGTTGTGCAGGTGTGAGGAGTTGGAGTAGACCAGCACCCATGGGTAAAACAAGCCTTAAGCGTGAGAAATTTGTGAAGACAGCTGCTGCTTGTAGACCTTCCTGTTAACACCGAGCTTTTACTCCTACTGCATAAGGCTGGATGATACTACATTTGTTATAAATATACTGCATGTTTGATGTTGACGCAGAAAACTACTTTAGTATACTAGTTATTTTCTTAAAGATGCTGTCAACATAGAAGGGTAAGGAGCAGCGTTCCTATCTTGATGTCTCATTTTCACATTCACCAATAAAATGTGATTTCATTCCTGACCTTTACTGTTTTTTTTTTTTTGCAACAGTACAACCACAGAAGTGAAAATGAGAGTGTCTGACATCTACTGTCATAGCAGGTTGAGGTCACTGCAGTCGCATTCACAGCTAGCGCATGGCACTGAAAGCTCTTTGTAGCTGCATGAATGTTAAGTTTGAATGCTGCAAAAATAAATAAATAAAAAAATTCAATAAAGAACTTAAAGTTTCTTATGCTCAAATCAGACTATTTTGTTGTCTTTATGTGTCTCGAAGCTGTTGGTCCGTTTCTCGTGACGTTAAGAGTTTTCACTTCGTTAAATAACAGTTGTATAAAACTATCCTTTGTGATCAGTTGAGACTCTTGGAAAAAGTACTATTAATTTAAATAGAATTGAGAATACTATTTTACGTCAGTGAAGCCAAAATAGAGCAGTACACTTACAGTAGCACATGGTGGATGTGTCACATTATGGAGCCACTGCATTAAGACAAATATACTTTAATTAACCCTAAACAGTCTTTATCTGTCTGGTCTTGGTAAAATTAATACTTTAAATATAGGAGAAGATTATATGTATGTATCATGTAAAATACTGTAAAAAAAAAAATAATAAAAAACCACAGAAGAACACTGGATTACATTTCTAAGCATGATCCCGATACCCTGCAAAGTCCTTTTAGGTCTGGTTTTGCAATAACATGCTCAAAAAATAATAGTAGATATTGTTTTTTTGATCGATAATTTAACAAATACGACAGTTATGTCCATGTATGTTTCATGTCTTGAAAGTATCAGACCTGATTATTAAGAGTTTTACTGTGAGGAGTTTTCAGATTGAAAAAAAAAGAAAGCCAAGACAGTTCATCAGTCCATCAAGGTAAAATAAGTATATACATTTTTTGAAATGGCCCTTTGCATCATGTTGTTCTTGACTGTAAATCAGGTCCATGAAAACGTCAAAAAAACTCATTTCTGTACACAAATATGGAAAAATGAAGGAATCTCTCCAATCCAACACTTTGAGCAAATATTAATCTGTAACTCCTAGTTTTGCTGTTTCTTTATACTGAAGGTGGGTCACGTTGTAGAGGATTTTGCCTGACAGAAAAGTGCATACTCTCTATTTGTGTTTTAAATGACTACTCATTAAAAAAATAGGATTATACCCCTCTTTAGGCATCCAAAGTTGAAAACACAATTTATTACAGTTTGCACTCTAGCAGAATATTGTAATAATAATATAGAAAACAACCCTTCATTATCCACGCTAGATAATTAATGTATCATGAATGCAACATTTGACCCTGCAAAATATGGAGAATCCCAGCAGGGAGTTTGTACATTTCATTTGAGAGCAGGAAAACACATGCACATACAACACACTCCAGTGCCCTCTACACACTGATAAGAAGAGTGACATTGCAACATTGCAGGAGATTTCGAGGAAGTTTCATCATGTTGCCAAAAAAAAACACGAAGTGGTAAGTGTTGTAGTGGGATACGTTTTTCTAGGTTTCACTCCCATTGCCTTGTGTTTTCAAAGTCAAGGTCGTCTCTGGATGCACTGAGAGAAAGCTGAAAACACTGCTTTTATGTGTTTTATACAGACATTATTTACCTCTGTTGGTTTCATCCAGGTTGTTTCACACAGTCTGCTTTGTTCCTGCATGAATACTTAACAACATTGAAATAATAAATAAGGCTCCAAGTCAAAAAGTCTCTGAGTTAAATTTTCTTGAATGAGAAAAAACTCAGCATAGCTTATAAGTTGTCTCCAAAGACGCCTACTTTTAATAAAAGTCATCAGAATTTTTCTTTTCTTTTTTAAGACAGAGTGAAGAAGCTTGTTATCTGCTGCAAAAGTATATAGCTACTCTACTTAACAGGTTATTTGTCATACATATGGAGAAGTTTTAGGGGTAAAGCTTTCAGGAAAAATATCTTATTTGCAGTATATTCATCAGAGTTTTTGTCAGGAATAAAGTATATTATTATTTTAGCTTAACATCCTCTTGTCTTACATAGAAAAACAGGTCACTGACAAACATTTCTTGCTGTAATTTCTGTTAATGAAATTAACACTGATACAAACATGAGACGCATGGCTCACGCCAGCAATGTGAAGGGTCTGATCTTCTAAAATGGAGTGATCCTCTATGCAGCTATCCTGCAGCCATTATGAATCCAGTGTGAAGTGGCCAGTACGATGCTTTCTAGATTATTTGGAGACATTATTCTGAGATGAGGGCAGCTCTCTCCTTCTTTGACCTGGTTTGTTGGACATACGTTAACATTGCAATTGCGCAGTGATGCAAAACAAACAAACAAAAAAACAGGCTTAGAAAGCAACAAATACCAGGGATGTTTGCATTGGAAATTAAATCAATTCAGGAACCAAAACAAAAGCTAGCTTTAACTATAACACCGGTAGTAATAGGTGTTAAGTAACTGATGCAGTAGTACAGCTGCTGGACAATTCAATTTTAACTCAAAAAATTGTAATTGTGATGAGCTAACAGCACTTACTATCTCCATTGGTGCTAGCCGTGGCAACATCACCTTTCACTGTTAACCAATCTTGCCTCTCTGTCACAGTCGGCCACTTTTAAGGTCTGACTGGCTAAAGGGTTGCACAGTTTTTCCGCCTGGTCAACCTGTGCAAACAGCTAAAAAAGGGACACAGTGTAAGTTATAAAGCACATTCAAACTGGACTGCAAAGGAAAACCTCCTCTGTGCGTCTCTGTGTTGGTGCTGTTTGCAGTGAGGATGAATATGCCCATTTTTCTGCATATGAGCCCCATTGCAAGTTACACCTAATTCATAAATACCAGGTTAAACAGCCATGCATAGTTAAGAGTGAGATTTACACTGTTTGCTAAAAGCTGGTGGTATTTATGCTTGAGTATTTCAGTGATTTCTTCAGTGGTCAAGACAGCAGCTCTCTGTGGATTACCTAGAAAATATCTGTTTTTATAATAATAAGGGCTTAAAATGGTACGGTGCTATCTGGGGGTCAATCTCCACACATCTAAGCTGTGCCAGACTGTGCATGACAGTGTTTTACTTCTCTTTTTTCTTCCTTTTGAATAAGCTGTATAGCACTAGCTTGCTCCAGGAAGAATGATGGATATAAACTGGGAAATTTGTGTCACACCTATCGTGAATTGATTCTACAATAAACAGGTAAGGACTTCCCCCTGATCTTGAGATGTTATAAGCCGGTGAACTTTTATCAATAAAGGACATTTAAATGCAAAGTACCATTAAAGTTCAAGTAAAAAAGTTTTGCATGCTTGCTTGATAACATTTTATATTTTGTGTGTGTATTTTCTGACAGTCATAAGCTGGTTGTTGGTCATTTTGTTTCTTTACAGTGTTACAACCTCATTTTTAGCCCGTTCTATTGCTGCTGTCTTTTTGAATCTGTGTTTCTTTGGTCCCAGTCTCATCGCTTAGACTGGACTGAATAGACCTTTGTATCTCTGTAAACAATGGTATGCCACATTGAAAAAAAGGAAGTTAAAAAAAAAAAGGAATTAAAAAGAAATTAAACAAATAAATGCATAAACCTTAATTGTTACTATCAGCAGCAGCCCCCTTTTCTCCTGGAGCAGCAGTTAGTATTGTAAATGATGACTCTCATTTGGACTGCAGACAGTTATTAAGTCATAGCTTATGGAACACAATATGCCCTGAATATTCAATATCTTCATTAAACAATTACTGTGCCTTTGTTAAATTGGTTGGCCAACTAATCTTGTTAAGCCATTTGCCTGCAGCCTAATTCCATGGAAGGTGATACACTGAGCACACGACTATTTTGAGACGACGCTTTCATATCAGGACCTTGGTATTATGTTTGTAATAGGAGGGCGGCATTATTAAGATGTAATGTGGGAGTTGAGGCGATATTATATATAATGACTATCTATTCCTATCATCTATTAGAGGACTCCAGAGAGGTATAGGCCGTGTGTGTTTAGTCACGTTGGCAGACTTCAGACCAAGTTTTCTCCTCAGGAGAAAAGCAGAATGTACAATCCATTCATCTGTTCGACAGCAGCTCAGTGAAGACTTAAGTTAAACAGAGGGCTCATGAAACACATTCATTTAGCAACCTTTGATTTTATTCTAAAGATATTACTCCTTTGAAGCAAAATGCCAAGATTTTAGCATACTTTATAGTTAAATAGTACATAAGAGTGAGTCACTTTGAGGGCAACATCAATTCAACAGATCTAGATCTACAATTTATGTCAACTGAAGTAATACATTTGAACATTAGACCCATTTTTGTTTTATCAATTTAAATGGGACCACGAGGTGCAGCCGGTGGAGGTCAAGTGTCTTGCCCATGGACACTTCAGCATGTGGACAGCCCTTGAGTCAAACCCCCAACCTTCAGATTGAGAGACAGCCAAGTCTACCACTGAGCAACAGCTGCCCCTGATGGGATAAGATTGAGTCCCGTCTTGTAAGATCTGACCCACTCCCATCCCATCTTCAACCACATGAGTGCAGCCTTGGCAGAATTTAGCAAGTTGCAGTGGAAAGGATACATTTCCAATAGCAGGTAGAAACCTTGAGCAGAACCAGGCTTATGTTAGAGAGTCATCTGCTGCTTGGGTTTCGAGAGGGGATAGAGGGAGATGCAGAAAGAAAGAGATGGACAGAGGTGGGAATGATTCATGTAGTTGAAGCAGCTGGAAAGCAGACAAGTTCATGACTGCAAAACATCTGCAGCAGCGATCCAGAGGAACAGACAGAAAGAGGATTGAGAAGGAGAGAAAGGTGCTCAATGTGCCAGTTCACCCAGAAGTCTAAACCTATAGCAGCACAACTAAAGACCTCCCAAATCTGAACCAACTATACACCTTATCAAAAAGAAAAGCTTTGAGCCTACTCTTAAAGACAGAGAGAGTGTCTGCCCCCCACACCTCTACTGGTAGATGATTCCAGAGGAGAGGGTCCTGATATTATTCTTTTATTTCCAACAGATCTGTGCAGAAATAAATAAGACATACTTTTGGCCAAGTAGCTGTAAACATGCAAGGAATTTGACTCCAGTAAACTTTGCCCTTTATGTATGAACATTAAACACGACATGTTACCAAAGATTAAAAGTATGTACAAACTGGAAATAGACGATTCCTTATCTAGATTGTTACTGCATACCAGTAGTGTGCAGGTAGTTTAAGGGGTGGGGGCCGAAGCATAAAAAAAAACCTCATCCTGAATACCTTGGTGCATTGGCTCTGAAAGTTGTAATGAATGGAGGTAACATTTTATCCACTAGATGGCCAACCAGACGACACTCTCATGTTTGAAACTTGGAAAGGCAGATACTAAAGCAAAATTTAATGCAGTTACCATGGAAATGGCACCAGACACAGTATTATGTAATGTTAAATTTGCACAGACCATCAAAAAAACGTAAGCCCAATTGAATTAACTTCTTTAACAAAGGATCCTGGCACATAAGACCATTTTTATTTTGATAGGGTAAGTCAAGTCCCCTGCTCATCCTAGTTTAAAAATCCATCTTCTTATTACACATTACCTCTTTCATGAATAATACATTTAAAGCTCCTGTGAGGAGTTTTTGGTGGGTCATGAAACAGACTAAAATGAACAGTGATGCATCTTTGAGATGTAAAAAATCATATGGGACCATTGAAGACAAGACTGATAATGACTGGGGTACAATTTTTTATGCCTGTACTTACTGTGAGGGGGTGGGTACACTGTAGGAACAGGAAATAGTCACAGTGAGGGATAACAAATTAAAAGACAATAGGAGGGGATTTGTCCATCAATTAACACCACTTCAGTAAAATCAGCATCACTAAAGGGGTTACCACTGTGTTCACAGATCGACACAGTCAAAAAAATACCCACAGGAGCTTTAAAAATGTTCAAGATATTCAGCCATCCTGTGTAACTCTTCTACTGCTTTGAAATATTATTTTTGACCCTGTCAAAAACACTGGAATAAAAATAACGACATAAACTTAAAGGCATGGTTGACAATTGGAGAAATTGGTAACTATTATGAACCTTGTGTATTTGGCAATCTTGGTCCTATAGTGCAATCTATAGAGAAATAATGGATAAAAAAACATTTGCCTTAGCAGCTGCATCGACCAATGGGAGCCATTCATCCCAGACAGCTCCTATTGGTCAGTGTTTTTGCAGCGCTTCTCTATCCAATCACCTCGCTGTATTTCACACACCCCTCTCCCGTAGTTTCAACTCGTCTCCTCCCACTCTCCTGGCCCTCCTCGGAGCTCTGAGTGGCTAAAAGTAGCATAGCAGCTTAGCTACAGGAGCTGTGATGGAGACGGACACACAAAAAAAAAAAACACTTCTGCTTGCCTCACCGCCAAAACAGGTAATTTTGCCTTTTATCATGGCACATGTTACATAAAGAACTCTTATTAGTCTCTGCAATGTCAACACGGTAGTTGTCCAGGCAGCTGCAGATGGTGCTCGCTAGCAGAGCTGGCGTTTACTGCCGCTAGTCACTAGCAATCCGACATGGCGAATCCTATTTGAAGCTAGCGTAGGATCTTCTGCCGACCGGCTTCTTACTCTGCCAGAGGGGTTGTGCCGTGGGGAGGGCGACAGGTTCGGGGGGAGTTAGCACAAACCTTTGTGTGTGGTTTGTGTGTGGATGTCGGGATGCTTTTTTCAAATCTGCCTCAACAGCTCAGTTTTTTTCAACTGCTTCTCCAATCTTCGGTATTGATGGTATGTGTCTAACAATGAAGAAATGAGAAGTCCTGTCTGATGGTGCAACTCAGTGCTCAGGAGTCTAAAATGTGTCTTTTCTGATTGAGGATTCTTTACAGAGGTTGTAATGTATGAAAAATTAGAAATTAAGAACAATTAATGCTAATAGAAATGTAGTAAATCAGTATTGTTGTCCATGCTGGTCTTTACCTGCCAATCCAATTTAATTTATTCAAATAAATAGCTTTATGGTAAGAAAAAAAAAAAAAAGATAAATGACATTTTCTTTGTTTTGAGTCCACCTGCCGCATGCATATGTTTCAGATTACATGATTAACCAAATGTACGTCTCACATGCAGCAGCCTTTGTCAAAACACACTGACAAGACTACACCTGCCTATAATTCCATGAATTGTTCAGTATTTTGCCCCAGCATTGTCTCCAAGTCTGACAAAAGACAAATGTAAGGTATGATACACACATTCACAGACAGGCCAGACAAATGATTACAGCATACAGTAGATGGATGGAGATAAATATTCATGTGCCAATACGCCTACACACTGTATCACTTTGTCATGCTAAGTCTTTGTGCATGCCCACGTTCACATGCAGCACAACTCATTGTGTATGCTTTCAGCAAACACAATTGCATTATATAAACCCATGTCAGCCAGTAGCCAGAAGCAGTGTGTCTTCAGAGAGAAGCAAAAGTTCTCCTGCACATACTACTGACTGCAGTAAATACATTCAGTCAGTGCAACACACCTAGGATAGAAGTGTTTATTCATACACAAACTGACTGCTCCATGATATTAAAATATTTTTGTTTGTTAGGGAAGATCTAGTGTGTTTTTTAAAGTCAGAGATAATAAATAGGATCCAAAAAGGCTGTTAAAACTCAACCTAACTGGTCTTGTTTTTACTCACACATCAGTGTTTCAGTACTTGACTCTGGGACTCCAGTCCAGCTGTTTTGTTGTCTTGTTAGGCCCTTATAATTTATTCCCTTTCGAGCAAGGGTTGCCATGAGTTTTCACTTGCATGAGTTTTCAAATACCATCTTGAACAGCGCCAGTTCCTGCCAAGACACAAGCAGGAGCAGTACAACAGACATCTGTTCCGAGCCCGCCCATGAAAGTGAGAAGCTACGTTTAGCTTGCTTTGCCCCAAAACCCACAATGCTTGTGAACTCTGGCTTTGGGACTGTGCTTGAACCAAGACTTCATGCAGAGTGAGGTTTGGTGATTTGAACGTGATCACATGATTAGAGTGATTATCACAATAGTAATGGCTTTGGTAATACACAGAGGTAGAAATCACAAACAGTTCATTGCCAAAATTATCTTAGAGCTTTAAAGCAATGTCAGTATGATGTATTTATTTTAAGTAAGTAGTATTTATTCTTTTTAATTTCAGTGTATTTTTATTTCAGGTTTAAATGGGTTTAATATACTTTCCAGTTAAGACATAAAAACACATACAGCTAGACACTGTATATGAAAATGCCCTAAAAGGAACACTTTTGTCTCAATAGGTTTAAGTACAATCAATTAATCAATCAGTCTTTATTTAAATAGCACTTTTCATATACAACCATGTAGCACAAAGTGCTTTACACAGAAAAAGGAAAAAAAGAAAAAGAAACAAAGAATACCCAAATCTACCCCAGCCCACCCCACGATCTAATTGCAACAGAAACAGTATTAAAATGCATAAACTTTAAACGGACTTGATTCCATGGAAACAGGAGTATGCGCACTGAGGAAACGTCATTTTAAAACTCAAGATAAGGAAACACTGGAGATTTAGGTTAAAATCTAAAAACAAAGAAACAAAGAATAAAATTTAAGAATTAATAAATAAAATGAAATAAAAACAACAGTAAAAGATACTAAAATAAAAGAACCAAAATAGCTCAATAAATGATGACTCTGTCATTAAAACTAGAAGAGATAAATGCTAAAACACTTAAACAAAGTTAATGATATAAAATTTAGTTAAAAGCAAGACTAAAAAAGTATGTTTTTAGTTTGCTTTTAAAACCATTCAGATTAGGTGCAGTCTTCAGATAAGCTGTTCCAATGACGGGGGCCATAGTAATAAAAAGATGCCTCACCATGTCTTGGTTTTAACTTTCGGTATTGTTATCAGAAAACTTCCTGAAGACCTGAGGACTCTACCTGGCTCATACGGTAAAAGCAGATCAGATAGATAAGAGGGGCCAAAGCTATTAAGAGCTTTAAAAACCAATAAAGCAACCTTAAAATCCATACTAAAAGAGACAGGTATTCAGAGCCTTTTTGGTTTTAAATGCACTAAAATAGTTTAATTCAATGGCTACAACTAAATCACCAATACGTGTTCTTACATAACCTCGTAATCTGTACCTTTCTTTAAAATTTCACTCAATTCAGCTGATTACACATTCTGAACACATTATTAAACTTGATTTTATCCGACCTGAGTTGAGGAATGAACTTCGAGACAGGTCAGGACAGACACGAAACAAATTTTGTTCTTCTAACAAAATAGTTTGCCAAGAGCAATTTCAGAGAAATAACTCAAACAGGTTAGCCCTTAGGCCTTTGTCTACATAAACGAATCCTTGACTCAGAAAATTAATGAATCCATCCAATTTTCTTAACATAACAATGGGACTTCATAAAGTTGGTGATTTTAATTTGTATTGAATTAAAAAATGCAGCATGGGGTTAAAGTATCTGAAAATAAAATGTGTTTCGTCCGTCTGTTGGGAACTAAACAAACAGTCACTGAAATATTAATGTGCTCAAAATCCCCAAATAACTGAGCAGTAAATGATTCAATCACACAAGAAGCTGGAGGAAATGTTCCATTTTCACCGACAAGTTATTTAAAAAGTGAGACTAAATTTACAGTCTTGGCATACTCTGTAAGACTGCAGATCATCCTGGTCATATTTTTAATGACAGGGTTACACTGTGGTTTATAAGATCTTTGGTGACTGACTCTCTCTCTCTCTCAGATATTCTTTCTCTCATTATCAAAATATTTAGACACTTCATTTTGTATTTAAAGATCATCTTTCGAATGTGAAGCCCTGATGTAATTCCCAGTAACACACAAACATACACAAAAACAACAATATTTCTGAACAAAACATTTGGAGTGTACATTTGAAATTCAGATCACACTCTGATTTATCCCTCATTGTCCTCCAGACAAACTTTATCATCACAACTGAACATAAAATCAGATTCACAACAGGTACACACAAACAAGGACACTACAACAACGCTATGTTATTGCAGCAGATGCCTGTTTCAACTTCCAGTGTTTCATACAGTTGAGATGTTGTGAGCTCATCCCTTTTGTCATCAATCTTGTGACCCCCCTCCACAGCCCAGTCCCTGCACTCCAGGAAGTGGGGTACCAAACATCAGCTTCATGTGCTAAAGAGAGAGCACCTATCACCACCGAGCTGCAGCCCCTGCTGCAGTCGGCATTCAGTCACATCACAAACAGTCACCCATGAAGAACAGAGGTGTTTCCTATGCTTTGTAACTTTGCCATCTCCCCGGGCTTGGTTCAAAGATACAGCGTTCTCCTTCTGAGCTCTGGCTTTATTGTTTACCAGAAAGCTGTACCCCTTAATAAGGCTTGACTCTGTGCAGGCCACCGGCCTCTGCTGCTACATAAATAACACCAGAAAAGAACAGCAATCTCAGGCGGGTGTAATGACTGAAAAAAAAGAGGAGGAAAAGTCTTTCTGTGTGTGTGTGTGTGTGTCAGCATCTCCAAGAAAACACTTTTCTAATCTGTCTGCACACATCATAACTGCACATAAGCACACTAATGCACATGAACTTACACTGGTGTTGATTTCAGTGTTTTCACGTAATAATATTTTGTATGCCATACTGGACCATAGCTTCTATGATAAGTGTGTCACGGTCCAGAGTTGAACAAAAAGGGAAAGGACCCAAAATGCCGAAAAAAAGAATGATTTATTTAAAAAGAACGAGAGAAAAAAAAAGCTACAAAAAGAAAAATTCGAAAGGCAAAATCCACAAAAAATCTTTGGGGCAAAATCACAGGGAGCAACTGGGGACACAGGCATAAGCACACAGACATACAATGAACCAACAAGAACAGAGAGGAAGACAGAGACTATATACGCACTGGGAAACGAGCAACAGGTGTGGCAGACGAGACACAGGTGAGGTAAACGAGCAGCAGGTGAAACTCATGGGTGATTAACGAAGGAGGGAAGACTAGGGAAGTAAACTCCGACAAGACACACAGGAAATAAACTACTACAAAATAAAACAGGAAACACTGAAACTAATATAGAGAATAAAACACAGGGAACATGAGGGAAACAGGGTCAAACACAAACTGAAAACTCACAAGACCGGACTACAGGTGAACAGGAACGATAGGGAACAGAAACACTTAGAAAGACACAGAAAATACACTCAAATAACAAAACCAGGGAAAACTAAATCAACAGAACATATCATGACAAAGTGTGCATAATCAGAGTTGTCTAGCATGTCATTGCTGGTCACTCTCTCACTCACCACCACAGTTGTCCACAGTGCAGTTAATGCAATAGCAGTCTGTTGTTTGTAAGAATTACTGCTAGAGGGTTATTATAAAGAATTCACACCTAACAATTAAAATGACAGTTGAGGGTGATATGTGCTGAAACTACGAGAGACAATATGCGATAAAAGGTTATAAGGTAGTGCGTATTTTAAATCTAGAAGTAACTTTGTAAGGGTTATTCTCAGTTCAATGAGATACGGTTGAAAAACACAGTTTCTATAAAGGCCATCTAGTGGAGTACCAAACCAACACTCCTATACGACCTGAAAGACTGGACCGGATTCCCTCAGATTACCTCAGTTGCCATTGTTTAAACACCACAGCCTACCTGGGTATTGTTTCTGACCATGTCTGATGAACTACACAATGCATTGCTTGTAAACAGGAAGTTTAAGGAATGTTTAGTAGGCCTGTTGATAGGCGAGAGTACGTGCCAAACAGTGGCATATCTAAATGTTAATGAGTCAATTACTGATCCAGAATTAAGATTACAACCAAAGTTTGAGTCAGACTCTGTGATAAAATAGAGAAATATGCTATGTTTAAATAAAAATCCCTGTTCTGTTATGATATAATCTTGTGTTTTCATTGCTGTTCACATTTTTTCCTTCAGTGAATCAGAGGTTGGTTTGAGTCACTGTACTTCTTGAATGAGCCTTCAAATTGTTAATGTCAGGCTGGTTATTCAAGAGCCGAGTCCAAAGCTAGTTTAATAAGGATGAAAGAGAAATGTGATTTGCCAGTAAAAGGGGGAATCTTTATGAAGCTACTGGGCCATAGAGCAGACGTCAAACCTTTCATTAGTGTCTTCATTTGGGGACTGGTGACAACAGTGGCACGACCTTTGCTGGCTGAACATTGGGCACTTAAGACTGGGGGATGGTGGGTGGCAGAGGGCCTTGGATGACTCCTGACTGCTGTTGCCGCTGCCGTTGGAAATAGCTTTTGCAATTTCATAATAATAGCCATCTTTGGTGCAATTAAATCATCCATTTTTCCCCCTCATGGCCTTCACCTCCTGTCACATACATGCCTTGGTTTTAATATCCACCACAGATTAGGGAGGCAAGGGAGGAAGGGAGGAAGAGGAAAGGATTCTTAAAAGCTGGAGTGCACTGAGGTTGGAGGGAGACAAGGAGAGAAAGGAGAGAGAGATAGAGAGAGAGAGGGGTCGACAAGACAGACAGGACAAGACGGGCCTTTTGTGCCTCAGTGTGTGTGTGTGTGTGTGTGTGTGTGTGTGTGTGTGTGTGTGTGTGTAGATTAATTAGAATCCTTCTGGACCGCCATTAAAGCTCATTAAAAGGAGCCACAGCCATACACGCATCAAACAAAGAGCTGGGACTGAACCTCAATCCAACCCCCACTACTGTCTGCTCTGCTTGTGACATGTCTATGTGCATGTTTGCAATATCTATCTATCTATCTATCTATCTATCTATCTATCTATCTATCTATCTATCTATCTATCTAGCTATCTAGCTATCTAGCTATGTGCCTGTCTGTCTGTCTGTTGACGTGTCAAATGGTCTGACTAAATACAACCATTTGGAAACAACTACAAAGTATGTGCAAGTGTGTGTGTGCTGTGTATTTATGTTTGTGTGTATGAGTGCCAGGGTTGGTATGTAGATGAAGCATTATGTTAATGATTTTTTTTGCCTCTCTTCTTTTTTGGCTGGGTCTCCACAGGCCCCTGTTAGCATAAATGATGCTCCCCTAGCTAGCCAGCAGAGGCTCATGCATTGCCACTAAAGGGATGAATTAGGCCTCTGAATCCCAGATCAGATCTTTGTTCATTTTCAATAAGGATTGGACTGGGGTTCCAGATGCATTATGATAAGAGTATTTATGGGTGCTTATTGGTGGGTGTCTACGATGGCACTGAACAGAGGTGAAGTTATTGGAAGGACAGATAAGACATACTTGAGGCTTTGATGGTAAGTAAGACTTTGCAGGTTGAAAGATATTTTCTAATCCAATAAAGGTTTGTATCTGACTCAGTGTCTGTTCTCTGATTTTTCTGATCAGAGTTAAAAAACTCTTAATAGCAATAGCCAACTTTTAGAAGGACAAAATACTCTATAAAGCATTCAGTTATGGTAATATTGGAAAATGAATAAACACTTAACGCTGTATTGTTTGTTATATGCAGCCCTTGTTTCTTTCCCTTTCTACCTCTCGGGTCCCTCTGCCGGAGTGGAGGTGATTTAAGGAGGCGGAGAGGGCTGAGTCGCTCTCTCTCTTACACAAACACACACACACCAGGCAGCACAAAAGGAAGAGTGTGATTTGGTTTACTCCTTCCTCTTTGTCCCCTCTTTCCCCCCTAACAGTTTGCCCTTGTTTCTCCACTCTATTTGCCGAGATTGTGGGGTGTTTGGGTTGGAGGCTGTGAGTAGTTCAGTTATCTGTGTTTTTGTTTCCTCTGGGTTAGTATAATCCTCAGTTAGTTAAGGGTCTAGGTGTTGGGAGTGATGGTCCATTTTTCCAGCATTTGTTTCTTTCAGCTGGGGTCTCCAGTCCTTTTGGTTCCACTGATTTCTTTTCATGATTAGTATTTTGATACTTAAGGGTGTCATTAGTGAGGTTTTTACAATGTTAAAACCATGTGTGGTGTGCTTCTTATATGTTTCAGTCTTTATCTTAAAAGCCTGTCATTTTTTGGACCTGTTAATAAATCATTGAAATACATCCATGATTTTTGAAGTCTTCCTATCATTAGCAATTTAATAATATGACAAATCATCTAAAAGTCTAAAGATAAAGTTGCTAGTTTTGCTAAAAACAAGCTAATCCTAAAGTGTCACAAGGAGATTTTTTTTGTTGTTTTCTTTTAATTTTGATTTTCCCCTTCAAAGTCAGACCACCTTTGGATCATTGGTATGTTATTGGCTAACAGATTAGTTTCCCTCAAGATAAATCATAAACGTAGGTGCCGCCATTAATTGTATTAAAACAAGTCTGAAAACAGTGTTAAGTGACAGAAACAGTGTGTGAAATCAGCACAGTTACATTCGTGACAGTTGTGTCAGCACAGGTCAGCTGGTGACATGACTCCATCTGGCTCGCCAAACTGTGCTATTGCTAATGATGATCAGACACCTTTCAGGAAGGAAGAAAAATGTCCCACTGTTCTGAGAGCTCTTCAACTTTACAGCATTAGGAGAGAAAAGCAGCGTGATGTTATCTTCTGCTTGTATGAACCAATAGAATTGCTTTAGATATCCCCTTGTATAAGGTCACTTTTAGAGGTAAATGTGCTCTGTGACCTTAAGTTTTAACACCTACAAAATTGCTTTCTCTCATCTGAAGAAAAAAGCAAAAAACAGCAACACCTCAACCATTTCTCATTCCAACAAACACTGAAAAGGTAAAGCAGGCTTTTTATCATCATCACTCCTCTTTCAGATCTCCAGCAAAACTTTAAAAAAACAAACTGAGCTTCTTCGTGAGAGACTATTTTACACCATTTTCAAGTCTCATCATAGGCTACTGAAAAATCTTGATGTCAAGATTAAATGCCTGTATTTAAATCAGTTCGTATGTTCACACTGCATTGTGTTTCATGTTAAGATGCTTTCTTTACCCATACAATTAAATCGCCGTCTATCATACAGACCATTGACATGGTTGTCTTAAGCTTTTCAATGTTAGAAAACCACATGCAAAATTATTTGTTTACTCGTATTAATAACAATGCGATTGAGGTCCAAATTAAAACACTTTCTTTGGAATTCCCTGTTATTTTGTCCCTGTTGTTTGGCAGCTACTTTCTCCTGCTGTCATGATATAGAATACAGAAACCTGTGCACTTTTGAGTTGTGCATTTTTCTCAAAAGAAGTCTCAAATGGTTAAGGTGACAAGTCAAAACTGATGTGCATTTTGCGCCAAACAAAAATTAAAATACCACTAAAGTATTCTGAGTTTGAGCTAAGATTGAAGCATACAGGTGCAGCTGATCAGACTGTAAACTCTACTTACCTGGTGTCACGAGGACATGTGCATGTACATCTGTACTCCTTTCTCATACACAGATACTGTCAGCTTCAGTGAACACTCATGGCTCATGTTTTAAGATCTGGAAAAAATCGGGATAACAAAAGGGCGTTAGAGAATTGCACCGGCCTATTTTACAAGACAGAAGTCAGGATTTTGGTATGGAAAAATATGTTTTGAAAAGCAAAATAATTGAATTTTAAACATGATTAAACATTTTAAAAGCATTAAAAAAATGACATGAAAAAATATTTGTTGCACCGAAAAACTTTCCTGCAGGTGGATTCTGCTTTTTATGCTGAGAGTACATAAAATATTTGCTCGCCAAATGAGAAAACCATTTTACAGCTGCATCCGCATATTAATCAATATTTACTGTTTTCATTTTGAAATCAATCAGCCCTACTTACTTTTCTAAGTGTAATGTGCATGATAATATAAATGTTGGTTAATATAAGCCTGTGACCAAACTACTGGCTGGACATTCATGGTTCCAGAAAGGTCTAAACCAAACCAGTTATTTTGGGTAATATAAACAAAACAACATTTAACACTGTGGCTTTAAATGAAAATGTTTTTTCTGTCAAAAATGAAGCATGTGAAAATGTGCATGTCTGAAAAATGAGCTTGTGCCAGCTTACCTCACTGAGCAGCATATTGTAGCAGGCTTGCCAGTTAGCGGGGGTTTATGCAGGGCCATTGCCTCTGATTATCTTTAACATCTTGCTGAGTGCACTGCACTGGGCTGCTGGCACTGCTTCAAATACACACACACTGTAACTCACACACATGCACTGACAAGTGACAGCGGAGCCAGTGGACCGCTTATTACTCTCTTGGCCGAGCTCATTCAAACTGGACTTTTAATCCATCAACAATGATGATCCTCGACCTGTGGGAGAGAGAGAGAGAGAGAGAGAAAGGGAGGTAGAGAGGGAGAGTATGTGCGTGTGTGTGTCTCTTTAAATGGTCACTGGTACAGATTAATACAAACAGTGAGAATAGACTATGGCTTTATGACACGCCTGTAAATATGTACAGCCTTGATTGCAGTTCCAGCTCCGTGCAGTTCTGTCTCAGTTGCTTGACTCCTCTAGAGTGCCAGCATTTCAGGGTCATCAAGTTTCTATTTTCTTTTACCTCATTTAACTTCGCTTTGTGACTAATTGTTTTCCCAGCACCAACATGGCCGGGGACCAACCTCTGAAAGGTCACCGAATGAATTTCTGGGACCCGGCAACTAAATGGCTCCAGCTCTTTGACATCTGTCTTCCCTCTTGCACCGTTAAACACATAAACATGTAAAACGACCATGTTTAAATTAAACAATATGCTTAATGTAACATATTCATGCTTCATTCCAATGGGGGAAATGATGCCAAATAGTACATGGGCATTTTGGGATTGAAGGTGAAGGCAGACACCATAAACACAGTGATGATCACCATAAAAATAATGCAACTGAGCAATAAAATGCCTGCTTCATTTGAAATTTAATTGCTGTAATCACATAATTGATTTGTGTCGTGCTGCCGCTTCTTTAACAAATCATGTTTTATTGCTCCATATACAGAGTCATTTGAAGTGTTTGGTTTTAAAAAAGAATCTTTAAATATTAAAAAGATGAGGAGCTTTCCAAAGTCCTAATATCCCTCATTATGTTTTTATGTGAAGAATTTGAGACAGAGAGACTAGGACATTACTCACATCCCATTCCTTAGTAATTATCACACGGATGCTTGTGAAAGGAGTCCTTCTTCAGCTTTTAAAAAATGGGCATCGTTCTCAAAATTACAGAGTAGAAGGATAAAAAAGACTGGAATTGTGGTTCTTTATTGCAATCAACCACATTAAGGACTCAGGTCTCAGGTCAGGGATGAATTCTGAGTTAAGAGGGTTTATTAATTTCTTTATTTATTGAGAAATCCATTCATATTAATAAACTCTTTCTCTTATTAATTCCAGTAGCCTGCAGTCAAACATGTCTTTTCCATGTATGAAGTTGTGTGTAAATAGGTGAATGTGATATACAGTGCTCAGCATAAATGAGTTCACCCCTTCAGAATTGTCAGGAAACCTCTAGTTTCCTTTCAAAATCAACATTTTCTGTCAGACTACACAACAAATACTCCCCTAAATGTAGGCCATCGATTGCAAGCAAGATTTTTTAAGTTGCATACAAAAACATATATACATTTTTTTTTTTTTCAATTTAAAATCAGGATGCAAAAATGATAACACCCCAATCAGAGTTCTGGGAGCAAAGCTACATTTTAGTTACCATATCACCCTTATATTCATCTTATGGTAAATAAAATGTTATGTTAAACTCAGCTTTGTCAAAACCTTGGAAATTGTACTTTTGCTCATCTATTGAGCAATATATTACTTTTAACAGGGTGTGTACTGACTTATGCTGGGCACTGTAGCTTATATAACTTTTGGTATTTGTCCATCTCGGTGCCTCCTGTGGACTGAGCTCTCCTTGCTTTCTTTGTCGTTCACATACTGGAATAGTGTCCTCTAATAAAAGTGTCACCCTGCTGACTTTTGGCAGTCAAACGTGTCATTTATTGTGAATACTTGATGTGAAAAAATGTAAAAGCAGGGCTGTTTCTTCAGCTGCTTGGCTGACACCTACCCCCTTGCATGCTTTCAGGCGCCAACGCAGTCAATAAGACAACATGTAAGTGCAGTTTGTTCACTCATCTGAATGGATTTGAATCTCTGATTTTACAAAAAACAAAAGACTCAGAAAATAAATTTGAAATGATCAGATTCTGACACCCTGTGGTACAACAAAAGAATAGGGGTTTAGATTTTAGCTGCTTTTTTCACCTCTGTTACTATCAGTACACATTACAACCATGCATCAGTAAAAGATTATAACCTTTGGTTTATCTCAAAATATGAAGCATTTAATCATAAAGCTTAAAATGGCAGAAGACACCTGTATTAAAGTGCAAGGCATAACTTGAAACTCAAATCATGATTCAGTGCAACAGTTTCACTTCTAATCTCTGACTGGCTGTAAGATTGTCACACTGGCCCAGATTTATGGGTAAGGCTGAATTTTTCTGTCCTGGTGTCACACATTCTGTTTTACTCCCTCTCTCTTTCCCTTTCACTTCCTCACACTCTGTACTAACACACACCAGCGAGTCATCCAATAACCTTTAGCTTGTTATATCACCATATTAAGTACATTCTCACAAACAGAACTATGAAAACTCAAAACTGCTGTGAGGAACTTTCACGTCGTCTTGTTTTTTTTACTTTGTGAGCTTCGGTAACCTCATGAAAATGCATCAATATCACTTTTAACTTGTCTTAGCACCCCTTTGCTGTTCTAAATTAAAAAAAACTCTGATGGTACAAACATGAGTAGAAGCTACAGGTGTAGCTATCACTTGCATTCTACCAGAGCAGTAGCAGCATGGGTGAAGCGGTGTATAAGCAAGGGTTGATTTCCTGCGTGAAAGCCAGCAGTGTTTGACACAGAGATCGAGGTGTCCTCTGCTGCTGGGTTGCATGAATACATGCATGACTTAGGGCCCATTATGCCAAAGCAGGTCCCATAGCTACCAACTGATCTCACTGTGTGTGGATACAGTGTGTTTGTCGGTGTGTGTGTGTGTGTGCATGGTAGGGTGAGTGAACCCACTGCTACTGTGTCTAGGAAAACATTATGTGTTTCACCACAAGGAGCTCAAGCACAGCGGATACGCAGCACCCTGGCTGTTCACATTATGAAAATGTTATGGATGATATGGAAATGGCTTTGTTGTTGCGGGCTTTATTGTGATGCTGTGTTATGTATGAGAGCTGCATGCCTGTTTAATATAAAAAGGATGCTGTCCGGCTCCAGGTCACAGAGAGGACAGAATAGCGGTTCACTTTAGGAACTTACTGTCTGCGAGAGAAGCAGAAAAGAACACATCTCTACTCACAGCGGCCACATGTGAAATGTTTTGGGACTTTGAACAAATTAACAACATATTACCTTGAAAGCTAAAACATACTGTTTTCATTTCAACAACTGTCATGAATTACATTGATAAAAACAAAAACCAAATAAAGGCAGGAATGCTCTACCTGAGTACAACCTCAATTACAAAAAAGTGAGGGGGCATAAAACTGAAAAAAAACAAACGATTTTATGGTTTGTAGTATCCAATATTCAATTTTAAATTGTGCAAAGTTCAGGAGCATGACCACGCCCAGGTGACTCATTGAAATGACCTGCAGCTCACTATCTCCTTGACCTGTGCAATCACATGTAAGCATGTCAATATCAGCATGTCTAACCCACTATCTCTAGTTTGGCCTTCCCTCCCAAACCCTTTTTCTCTCCACTGTTTTCTCTCTCCTCAACTCAGGTATCAGGGGACACAGAACCAGAAGTGTGCCAAGACGTGCCCCCACTCAGAATCTCAGCACCCCTCTTCCTCACGATTCAGCCTTGACCTTTTTTATCCCTCTCTACCTTGACCCTAATTCACCCCTCCATACCACCATCCTCTCTCATCCTTTTCTATCTCAACCCTCTCATCTAACTTTACTCTTACCCTTAATTTAGTTTAAATAAAGTGTTTTCAAACTGTGCAATGACTGGGTTTCTTTTTGTGAGAGACATCTTTTATGTAATATAGAATTGAGTGTTGTGGTATCTTCACAAACTTTGAACCCGTGCAGTGACTTCTTCAACAGTGCCATGTCAAGTATGCAGGGCCAGAGATTTCTCCAGGTCTCATGTTTATTTTAATGATACTACATTTTGTCAATGAGGAAATCTCCCAAATTCTTTGTAGTTTCGTGAACAAGAAAGTGGTCCTGAATGAACTGTTGAACTAACGCAGTCTCTCATAGAACTTTCTCCTATCTTTACCTCAAACCAGCAATGCACCAACTGCAAATCAATCTGAAAGGTTTGAAACTGTTGTCTTAGGTGTCATTTTTACTTATTTTTACAAATGTTATCAGTGTTTTCCTTTTCCAGCTACTTCGACATATATAACTGGAATCAAATTTACAATTACACATCATTTTCTTTTGAGTTTCAACATTTGCTATGTCGTCTTTGTCATACTTCTATTTGAATAAATAGTTGAAATAATTAGAAAATCATCAAATTCTGTTTCATATTCACTTTAACTCAGGATTCAAACATATTTTTTGAGTTAGGCTTGTAATTCTATAAATAGCATCATCACAGAGCAGACTAAATACTGGAAAAGCACTCGGAGAGCGCAGACCTCCGCCAAGCAGCTCATGTCCCCCCTTATATTGTGATTCACCAAAACTTTTACTGTTACGTGTCTTTTATTAACTGGTATGTTCACTGTTCATAATGTTCCTAAAACAAGAAATGCCCTGAACCAGATTTGAACCCAGGACCTTCTGGCTGTAAGGCGACGGTGCTAACCACTACACCACTGTGCCGCCCATTGGTTATCTTTCAGCATTGAAAATTCCAATGACACCCTTATTTTTGTGTGTTCTGGATCACAGTATCCAGAATTTTGTCTGGATCAGGATCAACCTTTGAAACCTCATAAAACTCATTGAGATCCTTTTGTGCATTTTTTTTACTTAAGACTGGTCATTTTTATAGAGTTAAATGCAAAAAATCTCAAATTTGCCCTATCTTACAATGATAAAGAATCCTTCAAAAAATTCCTGGATCCAGAAGGAGATCCGGATCACCACCAAAATTCAATGGGATCCTTCTGGGGCTAAGACGCACCTCTGGTGAAAATTTCAGGGCAATTCGTCTGTTACTTTCTCCATAAAGTTGCTAGATAAACAAACAAACCAACGCTACCAAAAACATAACCTCCTTGGCGGAGGTAATAAACAATGTTTAGTATAGCCTTTTCTTTAAACCAGTACAGAAGCTAGCCAACAGTAACTGTGCTGAGGCCAAACAATACTGTAATACATAACGCTGCCATTCTGAGCTGTAATCCAACGCTTACTTTACGTTGAATATTTCCAAAACTTTCAATGACATTCACATTCCTCCAGATGATGCCATAGTTGAGTCCATTTCCATACAGTTGATGTTTTTTTCCTGACATCCTTGGACTGATTTTTGATGCTCTCCTAGATTATAGGCCAACTTGTAAATGTGTATTCTCTGAGGGCCTCTATCAGATAGAAAACATAAGTATTAATGCATTAAAGCCTTTTGACATGTAATTGCTCTGATTTGTCGATCCAATGTTTTTATTTTCTTCTCTCTTTTCATGGTATTTATCATTTTTTTCCCCTGCTTTTTCTTTGATGCTCACAGAAAAGTGTTATCACTTAATACTGAAGTGACTATTTTTGTGGTTTCTGCCTATGTTGGGAAAACAAATTACTCTCTGCTTTGCTATATTTAATAGTGCTGAGCCTCGTGGCTGTTGCTCTGTCTTCCACTACATCAGATCAATATGTGGAAATACTTCCATCGATCCCGGTACAGAGACTAAACACTGCGAGGCAAAGCAAAATGTCCACTCATGCTTAACTGTACACAACCTTTGGCTGAGTTATAATCTTGTGTTAATAGTGTGAGGACA